GAAGGACAGCTTTATCCATCAGGCAGTTAGGAAGCTAAACTCCCTCCCGGCTCTCCCACCTCTCCTCTCTTTTCCCCTACAGCCTCTCTGAACTTGGTTACTGTTTTTATACTAAATGTTTGTTTTCTATCTAGCGAGAGTTTGAGAGTAACGTAATTTCATATCTCTGTATGTCCTGTACATGTGGCAGAAGTGACAATTAAACTGACTTTGACTTGACTTTGAAATGCAGGTGATTTTCTTAATTTTTCAAAAAGCAACTTGCGCTACATTTGGTGACGAGTTTGACGGCTTCCCTCAGAGAAGCTAGAGGGCAAACCTAGATGAGTGGAAAATATCAGAAATTCTGAAAAGGAAGTTTTATGTTGACACGGGGAAATTGTTATTTTTTGTGATGGAAAGTCGTACATTTGCAGGAAATAAAGTTCAACTTTTCAGTCTAAGACTTAAAGTTAGCACTAAGATGAGGCCTGCGAGAAAATCCTCAACATTTTCATGATTAAATGCAGAAATGTGTATGAATCAAAGCGCCGTTTTCTCTGGTGTGTGTGTGCAATAAAAGTTTAGATTTCCAGGATAAACGTTGAACTTTTCTGGAGAAAAAAACTCAGATACGTCATGCAAATTTTACCAACAAACTCCCACAATGGAGTCAAATTAATAAGAAATAGTAAAATTTCTTGTATTTGTTGCAGTGCCTACTAGGTTCTACAACCCCCCAAGACACTTTACACAAACAGCCATTCACCCACGCACACACACATTTACAGAGGCACAGCTGCATTTAAACTTACAGGGAAACCGTCATACATTTGTCTATAGTATATACTTTTTTTTAACTATTGCACTCCCAATATGAGAATATTTCTGTTTTGCTGTAAACATTTGCATCAATCTCGGTTTTTGTACAAACGGGACTCCTGTGCTCCTATAGTTTGGTTTTATTATAACAAGTCTCTGGTTTTCTGCAGCAGCAGGCTCGCTTTGAGCAAAACAAGTAAAGTTTAATGATGTTTTACAGGCTGAGAAAGCGAACATATGAGAAAAAGCTCCAAATGTAACTCAAGTACAGATTAAATCTCTGATTCTGAGAATGTATTTACATAAAAACAGCTGAAGACGCACCTGAAGGGACATAAAGGGACAAAACACAGAAACATAACAAAAGCCCACAAATCTCTGGGATGTGGGGACTGCTTGGAGACTAGTTGGAGACAAGTATTTAGTTGAAACCACAGACTTTTCGTGAAGCACTCCTTCAGTGTGTGAAAAATATTCATGATGCAATTTTGTCGTAAACTTTGTGTCAAACTGGTGAAAATTTATTCATTTTATTGACGCCCAACTTTCTCCCGACTCGCAGAAACTAAACCGAGACGGCTTCTAAACGGGTTTCAGACACCAGAGTCAGTACGGGACGATTTTAGAGGACATTTCTGGTGCACAGCCTCCAAACATATGTGAGAAAACTGAGATTGCTCGCAACTGTTTGGAGACATTTTGGAAACTCCAGAGAATGCTGGCATCAGCAGCCACCTACCAGAGCAAGGGGAGGATGGGTGGAATGATGTCATTTTTCTGGAGAAACTGAACTCAGACCAGCAGCAGCGAACTCAACCTTCACAAAGCTTATTTAGCTCCAGCCACAGCAAACAAGGCTGAAGAATAACGGCTGGGATGCAGCCTTCATGCTCTCCTCCATCTCCCTGTCACATGTGCTCAACTCCCGTTTAATGTCCTGCAAATGAGGCGGATTTATTAATGTGTAATTAAGTAATAATCATCACTACATAATGCATGAGAGACTCCAGGGGCTGAGGGCTGAGAGGCAGAGAGATAGGATATGGAGCAGACACAGAATGAGCTTTTTTTTTCTTCTTCCCTCGCCTCGCTAAAGACACACATTAAAAACGGATTAATCCGCTAAAATAATATTTTGATAAGAGAGAAGCTGCGCTTTTTCATTTCTTCCTCAGGCTCGCCCCTCCTCCTCCATCACCCCACCAGCTCGTTTCATGGCCCATCATCGCACCATTAGTCCGCCTTCAATTAACAGACAGCAATTAGTCAGGTCCCCTCACTGCTAACAGGGTCTAATCGCTGTCAAGGCTGCAGCGGTCAACGAAATCCATCAACCCGGCCAGCGCAGGCAGACGCGGCGCCCACTTCCACAGGAGTTTCTCCTGTTTTATCACCAATTCTCGTAGAAATGTCCGAGCTGGTGTTGTCGTTAAACAACCTGGAACACCGGTGCGACTAAACCTGCTGCCCATACAGGAAATAACAACCAGGAACTCCAATTAAAACCCAACAAAACAAAACGAAACACCTCCAGATTCTGGAAACAACAATAAAACGCAGCAAAAGCATCCGTGAGCTGAAGAGGTTCTCTGTGGCTTCACAGGTGACAAGCACGTCTCCTATACTGGGAAGCTTCAGGTGGGAATTCATCACACAAATCGCAGATACATGGATCGTTTTAAGGAAAAAAAATTAAATAACATTTAAAAAATAAATCTAAAAGTCCCTTTAAGAAACAGACTCAATACTAAACATGCAGAGAGCTTACACAGGGGGATCTCAGCAGTTTTATTGTTGACATTTTCAAGACCTTCCAGAATGAGCCGTTTCAGGTCACTTTAAGAAAACAAGCTGGGGCTGGCCACGCCAAGCCCTCCCTCACTCAGGCTACTATAAGCTGAGAGGCTCCAGTATCCAGGAGGGGCTTGGAGTAGAGCTGCTGCTCCTCCAGTAGCAGATTTCTCTTGTTCGTGAGAGACGGTTTTATTCTAATTTCCCGTTTGTGACATCACAAACGGAACTTTTTGAGATGGTAAGTTTTAAGCACATAATTCCTAAAACCAAACACTAAGAGAAAAAGGATGGACAGATTTTTTCGTGTTAGGAGTATTTATAGAGGCAGCAGAGACCCACAAGGCAACGCAGAAGTTGAGTTTTGCATAATGAGTCCTTTTAAGTGTCTATTTTCCAAATGAACAAACTTTGAATTAAAAAGTTCCTATCTGCTCTAAACGCTCATGACCTCTTCTCTCCCCACTTAATCCAGTCGTTTTTACTTTTAGGATTACCTCTGCCTGTTTGATGGAAACCTAAGCCAACATGGTTCTGATCAGTTAAATGAGCTTTAAGGACAATAAAGTTTTAAATGGCCCTAAAAAATCAGCTGTAGTGGGACGTGAGATTTAAGGGCCGTAAAACTGCAGCTGCCTGAACAAAAAGGGCTGCATTCAAGTGCATCAAAGGTGTGAAGAGACAACAGCCTAAATCAGTCTAACTGGGGGGCGGACCTGCAGCAGGAAGGAGGGACGAGGTGGGACTCTGAGCCTCTTTGTTGTTGTTTCGGTATGCCTGACTGGACAGTAAGCCAGCCAGTCAGAGTTGGGTGAGCAGGTGAAAGACAGAAGAACATGAAAACACAGATGATCCCCAGGTGATGCTCACCTCAGCCTACATGGCCCCTCACCTGCTGCACGGCCCCCAAACGCCTCCTTTCCTCTCCCCCCTCTTTCTCCTCCTTGCTCCCCCAAAGCCGGGCCGTGCCAAGCTGTCAGAGGGGCAAGGTGTGGACGGGCGATAGCAACACGCGTGTGCACACAGATGAGAACACAAAACACATGGTGCTCATGAGCCAGACAACAAGAGCTGCACTGCCTTAACACACACAAACACACACAAACACACACACACACACACACAGAGAGAGTGGTGGTCGTCTGCCTCAGCTTTGCTTCGCTCGGCTTCGCTTGGCTGCCTGACTAAAGCTAAGCTCTAGTTATTCAGGCTGCTGAGACCTGCCGGCCTTAGTGATGCACTCTCACTCACAAACAGAAACTCTCTCTCACACACACACACACACACACTCAGAGAAATGATGGAGCAGCAGCGGATGGACAGATTCACTGGTCCACAGCTGTGGACTTGTATCAACAACCCTGCAGCAGAGGGCCATAACACACTGATGAGACCAAAGCCAGGAGGGTTCGTCTGGTCTCAGCACCATCAGCTGGAGGGAGCAGCATCACCTTAAATGAGCTTCAGCAGGGAAACATGTTAGCGTCCAACCTGCTTCAGCAGGAAGATTCTGTCTGAAACGCTGTTTTTATTAGAGATGGAAAATCTGCTGCAAACCGAAAGCAGCTCAGATTCCTGAAGAGGCTGTGGGAAGTGTAAGCTGTCGTTCCCAATTATTCCCTCCTCCTTATGAGGAGTAAAATAACAATCACTTTAACTGTTTTCCTGCAGTTAGAAAATATTAAAACCTCAAACTTGTCCTCAGAGGAGCAACAGAACAAATTGTGTCAGCGATTCCTGCACATAGCCTCAAACAAATCCGGTTCTGGAGGAGCTACTGGTGCAGCACAGCGGGCACATGCATGTCCTGGATGTTCTCAGAAAAGGGAAGTCTGGATGGAAAGGGGGGGGGGGGGGGGTGACCACATGGTCGGCCAGTCCCGTTGCCCATCTGGGTCCCATAAAGAGAACAGGGAGGCCAAGGACACCACATGCACACACACCCACACCATGATGCCCACTCACACATGCACTACAATAAAAACCACTTCATCTTAAGGAAGAGCAGACTGGTGATTTCTCTGATTTAGGGTTAGTTCCTTATTAAATGATGACTTTTCCCACCTGATGCACCATAAAGACCTGACAGCCTCCACATGAGGCTGGACGCATCACTTCCGTCTGACAGCAGAGGGAAGCTGCTCGTTAACGCCAAAGAAGTTGATTAGGAACAAGTTGGAGTGGAGATCCGCTGTCAGGACAACCTGGACCCAAACCACTGAAGCCAGCAGCGGAATTCCACTTTCAGGCTTAAACGTGAAATAAATCCGCGCTAAAGCAGAAAGAGTCGGGAGGATTTCCCTCTGCTCTTCCAGACCGCGGGAATAGTTAAACGGAACAAAATGAGCGAGCCGGGAAGTAGCGGAGTTAAAATCCGGTTCACCGGAGGTCCGGACCGGGTCCCTTACCTTTAACGGAGCGCGGCTTGGCCTGCTTCCGTCGGGACATCTCCGCGTCGCTCTCTGGGTCTTTCTGGTTGCTTTCCGTTCACCTCCGTGTTTTCAGAAACCCATACAGGCGGCGGACGCAGTCGCTCCTCTTCCTCCTCCTCCTCGCTGCCGCCTCTCCGCCTGTTGCAATGCGGCAGCTTCGGTCTCTGGGTGAGAAGCGTCCGTCCGTCCGGCGGCACAGGGAGCTGCCGCTGGTCTCTTCACAGGTCGCAGAAAGGCTCGCGCGAGCTGTGGGACGACCGGGAACAACTTCCTTCCTCAACCTTGATTTGTTATTTCTTGTCTCGCTCCGCCGCCGCACGCGCTCCGCGTGCTCCGAGCGCTCGTGCCGCTCCGACCTCTTCCAGCGCTCGCGGACGGACCTGAGCGCGAGCTGCCGCCCACGCGCGTGCCTCGCACCTGAGTGAGTGGCGATAAAAGCCAGGTGACAGCGGCACCGTCCGTGGGTTGCGCGTCGGTCCCGGACGATGAGACGGATTTGTGTCGTTAGGGAATGACGCGTGTGGCTCCTCCGCGCGCTCTCCGCGCCTCCGCCGGCTCTATGTAGTTTAGTGACTCTGTTCTGTTTGTTGTCTCTCCTCCAAGAGCCGAACCGAACCGAGCTGACCAGCCTTCTGCGCTCCGTCCTGCTCTACTCTAGTGGTGTGGGTCTGGTGGCATGGACACTGCGCTCTGCCCTCCTTCCTGCGGGACTTTTACCACCGCACTTTGCTTTCTTTGGGTTAATATTTGTGCCGCAGCCGCCTGATGTTTGGACCAGTCTAACCCTGAGCTAGCCTCTGTCTCCCTGCTTTTTCTTTGTCCTGACTCTGGCTACCAGTCTCCCTCCTCCTCCTCTGCCTGCCTCTGCTGGCGGGGCTGCGGCGCAGACACGCATAATAAAGCCAAGGCAGGCAGTGCTTGGCTGGAAATGTAGCCGCGTCCCAGCAGGGGGATGTGAGAGAAGGGTCCCGGCGGGGGAGCGCTCTGATCCCGCAGGGAGCAGCTCGGCACAGCCCGGGTTGGCTGAGGCAGAGAGGCAGGAGAGAGGCAGGCTGGGCAGGTGGAGGAGACGGGAGGAGGAGAAGGAGGGAGGGGAGGAGACAGACTTAGACAACAGCGCCGAGCTGTGGCCAGCAGGCGCAACTGCAGCAGGGAGCGGGACTGAGCTCGTTTTTAATTTTTTTTTTGTCCTTTTCAAACCATCCACCAACCCGCAGAAGGGACTACACCCCGAGGTCAAAGGTCAACTATCCGGAACTCCATCAAGTCTCAGGTCAAAGGTCAGGACAGGAAAATAACTGATAACAGATCAGCTGAGGTTAAAGTTTCATCAGAATGAAATACACAAGTGGAGTTGTTTACCCATAACAGTCACACACACACACACACACACACACACACACACACACACACACACACACTTGCCTGTCATCTGATATTTTTGAGTTGTTTTAGGTGACATTTTCAGATCCTTGTAGTGTTTTGACAATAAATAATGCTATTGAACACAAGACTGTTATCATCCACATGCAAAATGAAAAACTGTGTTTATGTTGTTTTGCCAGCTCCGTGGCGTAGTGGTGGCGTGTCCACCCTGGCCGGGTCACACCAGAGACTTTAAAATGGGACCCTCACCCCCACCCCACCCCACACACACACACACGGTGATGGGTCATGTGGAGAGGTAATTTCACCAGTGTGTGATGACTATGGGACTTTAGTTCAGATTTGGTCCTTTTGGTCCTTTTCAGCTTATAAAAGCTCATCAGGTGATCTGTTGATCGTTTTAGATGTTAAAACGATAAAATTCTCCATTTTAGACTGAAGGTGATTAAAAAATTTTGACTCTTGAAGTGAAGTCAGGGTTTATTTTTTTATAAAAATGTCCTCCCTGGTCTTTGGAGGAGCTGTCTCTCCTTTTGAATGGTGCCACGGTGAAAACACGCCATCTGACTCACTGTATAGACACAATTCAATTAGCCACACATGTGTGTTGGGCTATGAACATGCTTGTGTGTGACTGCGCCTTCTTTGAAGCTCCTTTATTCCCAGTAAAGCCAAGAAGGACACGTCTGTGGACAATAAAAAGCAAACAAAGAGGGGAAAATGAAAATCACTGGGAGCTTTGTTCCCGTCTCTCTGCTCCAGCCGAGCAGCTCTCTGACCGCAGCTGAGCTTTTCCGTCTTCTCTGACTTTCCCTCTCCCGTCTCTCGCTCTGGTTGTCATGGATAGCTGGGCAACGTGGATCTCCCTGTGCTGACCGGCAGGACCGCAGATTGGGCCCCCTGACCCCCCGCTGCAACCCCCACCCCCCCCAACCTCATCCTCCCATGGAGAGACAGAGCAGCCTTTAAGATGGACCCCCACTGAGGCTTGGTCTCGGCACTCTTCATCCCCCCCTTGTCTCACCCTCCAACCTTCACCCTTCCCTCCAAATGACGCCGCCAGGAGACCCGTGCACGCGTGTTCATCTGAATGTGTATGTGCGTGCACGCAGAGCTCCCCCAGGATGCTGCCAGTGGCACGGAGGGCCAGAAAGCCCTGACTCAGTGGTTGGTCCTCGCTGCACCCCCGCCGCCCCTCCCTGCTCTTGCCTGTAAACACAAAAGAGGGAGAAAAAAGCCCACATTACAAGCTCCTTAAGGGTCAAGGACAGGCCCCACTCTCAATGGCTTCTAAGAGTCTTATTGTTGAATCACATAGCCAGCGATTACACCCTCTGTCATCTCCACACGGATTTGGCGTTTTTAAACACACAACAAGAGAACATCAAGTAGAAGCTCCTGAATAAGTCTGCCAACAGACATGCAGCGGGAATTGATACAGACAGGCCATCAATGGACCAAAGCAGGGACAGATGTAGCTTTATGGCTCCAGAACGGGGATTTGGCTTAAAGATTTCATACCTTAACAGCGGTGGGTTTACAGTGGAGAGGAATGTGACGGAAACAAGGAGCCAGATCTGGTTTTCACCAGGATCCTGCTGTGGTTCCAGTCCACATTTCTCACGCCCAGTTATTCAGTTCAGGAGGTTAAAACGGTTTTAAAACAGAAAAACGTTTATATTATTACATCAGACTGAGTCGTAGAGTCCTCAAGTTCAGTCTGGTGTGACTAACCTGTACGACTGGTCGGTGGAGGTGGAGAAAGCAGGCGACGCTGGTGTTAGTTGTTTTTTTGTTTTTCAGGGCTGCATGGTGGAGCAGCGGTCCACAGCAGCCTTGCAGCAGGAAGTTTGCCGGTTCGAATCTCGGCTGAGGCCTTCCTTTGAGCATTGTCCTCGTGCATGCCAGGGTTTCCTGCTCCCACAGACCAAAAACACACGCGTCAGGTTGAATGGTTGTCCCGAGGTGTGAGCGTGAGTCCTAAAACACTGAACACCTGCAGAAGAATCCTCCAGTCCTTGTTGTAAACCACACAGCAGAACATTTCTGATATCTAGGTGAGGATGAAGGAAGATGACTGAAGGATTTCATTTATTCCTTTTTCCTTTAGTCTGAGTGAAAATCAGCAATTATCTGGGTTTAAATAAAAAAAAAATACTAAAATGACTACATTTGTGTTTGATCTTTTCTTTTTATTTTTCTTCATTATTGATTTTTATAATTATTATGGGATGCATGACAGACAAATTCCTTTCTTTGTGGAGACCAAGAAGATTAAATCCACATCTGCAGCTGTTCAAAGCTCCGTTTTTACCGTAAAAGCAGTTAATTTTGCCTCCTGAGTTTCTTGGCTCAGTCACAGAAAATACCCATTTCTTTGTGCTAGTTTTAAACAAGAAAGTGTGTGTGTGTGTGTGTGTGTGTGTGTGTGTGTGTGTGTGTGTGTGTGTGTGTGTGTGTGTGTGTGTGTGTGTGTGTGTGTGTGTGTGTGTGGCTTACACACACACACACAATGAGCTGTGTGTATTCCTGAGTGTGTGTCTCCATCAGGGTTCAGCCTGCCTCCATCGTGAGACGCTGTTAAAAAGAAATGGTGGCAGTGTGACAACCTCCCAACTAAAACCAAATCGACTTTCTGGTTTCTCATTCAGCGCCGGGCTGCTAACAATGCTAAGGTTCCCCGAACGCCGGCCCTCTGAAGGGAACCCACCCCCTTCTTTCTAATTTCCCTCTACCTAAACAGAAAGGAGGCCTGTTAAAGAGCGTCATTAGTGCCAGGCCAGTTTTTGTTTTCTTACCCTCCCAAGAAAGAGGAAGTGTTATCTGTGGCGGACAAACTTAACCCAATTAAGATCTGGTGGGGCGTAGGAGCCCGGTTTGGGATGTGCTGGAGCTCCCAGGCCTGCCAACCAGGCAACCAGCCAGTCAGGAAACCAGCTAGGCAGCCCGGCAGCCAGAATGAGTCCAGCAGCTGTCTGTTCGCTAGCAGAAAACCAGCTGAGCAGCCATTAAAACAGCCAGGATCACACTGATCCACCCGGTGTTGTGTCTGCACCTGAACTGACCCGCTCTGACCAGTACATACTCTGACTTGGATAAAGTTATTCCCTCCCTATATTCGTATCATTTCTTTGTGTTTGTTTCTTAATTCTTATTTTTGCTTTTTATCTATCCTTTCTTGCACCAAGAAGGGGGGGGGGGAGGGGGGGCTGGTGGTTCGGGGGACACAAAGAAGGGCCCGCGGGGCGGCCTTTGAGTACCATTGGTCTAATGTCTCAGTCATGTTGGCAGGAAAGTTACAGAAACAGATTTCCTTCTCAGTCGGGTGGGGACGTCAATTTTTATACTTTCGGAAAAACAAGAGGGACGTAGTACTGTTTACACCATCGGCATATAAGATTATGGACATAGCCGGCCCATTCCTCAACCGGGGGGCCAGTTAAAGCCAAAAATGAGAGGTTCCCACCACTGATTTTTTTTTTACTGTCACGCCCAGACAATCCAAACATGGGAAAAGAGGTGGGGCTGTTACATTTGGAACAAATGAAGCCAATACTACTAGCTAACTTAGCTAACCCAAGAAGCTAGGAAGGGTACCGCGGGGTAGCCCACCCGCACAGCCGACCAGCTTCAGTGTGAGGCTGTAGTCATGCTGGTTGCCTGTGGAGCTCTAATATGGACTGGGACTGTTAAATTACAAGCAGAGCCAGACCGCCGCGACTGGGAGCCCTAGCCTTTCAGATCAGCTCATTCTCCATGGTTGGAGATCAGCGGGACCTTAGCTACATGCTAACCAAAAGCTAACAGAGTTTTTCCGGGCATTTTTAGCGA